TTTATCTACAGATAAAGGATTATCCTTATCTCTTAAAGAGAGTCCAGATCCAAATACAAGATTTGGATTAGGAAACTCCTAATGGGATTAGGAGAGCCTCTCTTTAAGGCTATAAATAGAGGAGAAGGGCGAACCCCAGTTCATCCTTCAAGATTATTGATTCAAAAGAGAAGAGAGTTGCAGTTGGACTGATGCCATCTTCTGCTCTTGCCTTCTCATGTTGTTTCCGCCATTGCCAGTTCGATCTCCACCTGTAGGAGCGATCAAGAAAGGTTCTTGAGATCAGTTTTTGGAACTCGCCCTCCATCAGATTCTTGGTGAAGAATCGGGTTCTTGCTGAAGAACCATCCTACTGATTCTACTCCACCCTACGCTGTATCATCTTCAGTGGGAGCAGTCTTTGGTGATCTCTTTGGGCGTGAACACCTTCATTGGGAGTTACTACTACTCTGCATCAGGTATATCCCTCTCCTACCTTTTGATTTCAGATCTGGTCTAGTTTAGGGTTTAAGATTGATCCTTGAAAATGTAGTTTTCTAAAATAGGAAATGTGATTCCCACATGGGAGAGAGAAAGTTTTGAAATTTCGCCCAACCTACCTACAGGGTTCGGCCATCCATATGATAGATCTCTCATCCCTTCACAAAGTTTAGTTTCAGCCAATCTTCAATGGGAGGATTCCAAACCGACCTTGCTTTAATATTTTTTACTGCAACTAAAGGCTATGAAGCACCAATTCCTCCAGATATCATCAAAAGAGAAATATTTGAAGAGGTCCAATGTTTGAAACCAATGTATAACCCTGGTCATAACGTACTCCATAATTTGTTGTTTACTTCTTTCCTTCTCTTGGAAGGTTCTTAGATTTCTTTCTTCCCATAATGTCCAGATCATTGCTGCTCTAGTGCATCTCCACATTATTCTTCCCATTCTCTTTGGCAATTTTAATCTCCATTGGCATATTCCACCTACACCTAAACAAGGAGAAAAACCAATCCCAAATTTCTTTAGCAAATGAGAAAGAAATTAGTAGATGAAAGCAAGACTCACCGTCAAATTTACATAGAGAGCCAATTTGGGGAAATACATTGAGGTCTTTTCTTTTGCAATGAATCCAGAGTGTTAATTTTCCCAAGAGCCGCTTCCCAACAAAAAGCCTTAATTTTAGGGGGAATCGGATAAACCCAATTTTCTTTCCAAGGAAAGGACAAAGAGGAGGGGGACTGGCAAAGAGCTTTAAAAAAGGACACACAAGAAAAAAGGCCTTTAGGACTTAGGCACCAAAGTCTTCTATCAGGATTAGTAGGCTCTAAGCAAACTTTATCAAGGAGAAGGAGAAGCTTTGACAAACAATTAGCCTCTTCATCCCTCAACCCCCTCCGAAACCCAAGATCCCAGTTAAGATTCAAAGGCAAAGAAGGAAGAACAAGAAAATTGGAGATCACCTCATTTCTATACAAAGAGATAGGATACAAAGAGGGGAACAACTCCTTTAAAGGCCGGTTACCAAACCAGATGTTTTCCCAAAAACGAATTAAATTCCCTGAGCAAACATCGTACCTGATAAACCTAAGGAATTAAAGGAGGCTATGGATCACATTCCAAGGTGCTGCCAAGGTAGCCCTTCATGATACACTAGCATCCCAACCATTCTCCGATCCGCAATGTATGCTAGGCACCATCTCAACCCACAAATTTTCCCTCTCTAAAGGCCATCTCCATAACCATTTCCCTAGGAGTGCTGTATTTTTCTTTCTTACAATCCCAATACCTAATTCACCCTCTTCCTTGCTTCGACACACCACCTCCCAACTAACTATTTGATCTTTCCTAACCTCTCCTAGCTCCCAAAGAAAGTCCCTCATGATTTTTTCCAGTTTCTTTTCCTCCTTTGGTGGGATCCCAAAAACAGAGAAGAAATAGATGGGTAGGTTAGCTAATGTAGATCTTATTAGAGTAACCCTGCCTCCCAAAGAGATATAATTTCTCTTCCAACCAGCCAACCTCTTTTTACTTCTTTCTACAATTGGGTTCCAAAAATTGCTTTCTTTTGGGTTTGCACCTAAGGGTAATCCTAGATGGTTCAAAGGCCAAGGGGTGATATGACACTCTAAGCAATTTGCTACCAAGGTCAGGTCATTCTCCTCCATATTAACCCCTGCTATGCAACTCTTATTTAAGTTTATTTTCAGATTGGAAACTTTTTCAAACTTCTTAATCAGTTCTTTCAATCTCCTCACTCTCCTAATGTCTCCCCTTCACAGAAAATTATGATATCATCTACAAACTGGAGATGAGTAATTGGAACATTATCTCTACCCACTCTCCACCCCCTAAACTCGTCTTCCCTATCTGCCTTAGAGAGGAGTCTACTGAAGACATCGGCCACTAAAGTAGAACAAAAGGGAGAGAAAGGGTCACCTTGCCTTAGCCCCCTGCTAGCTGGGAAAAAGTCTTTCACCACTCCATTAACAAGGACAGAGCAATGACAAGACCGTATACAACCAAACATTCAGTTACACCATCTTTCTCCAAACCCTCAATGTTGCATTACTTCTAGGAGAAATTTCCAATCCACCATGTCATAGGCCTTTTCTATGTCAAGTTTGCACACAAATCCTTCCTTTTTAGACCTTTTCATTTCCTCTACACATTCATTAGCTATCAGGATTTGGTCAATTTAGAGGTGAAAACTCTCCTACTATCATCAAAACTTATGATACATTTAGAGGTGGAAACTCTCCTACTATCATCAAAACTCCACATTTCTGTAGGAACTTGTAACAGACAAGCACATTTGTCATAAAAGACAAGCAAACTTTTATATTACTTCATCAATAACCGACTCACAATAGCTCACAATAACAAACATCTCTTCTAAAAAAATAGTTGTTGCAGTTCAATGAAAAAACTGAAGCATTGTAGAGGAATGTGATTGTTGCAAAATATGGCCACAAGAATGATGGTGGGATCCAGGTAGCAAACCCATATTATGGGTGCTAGTACTACTGCTTACTTTGGAAAGGAAATGAGAAAACTACCTATCTCCCATTACTTTGGAAAGGAATTGCGGATAAGATTTTAGTGACCCCCGGTGTGAGAATGAACTATCTATGGAACCTTCCCCCTCATATGGCAGAAGTTTTGATTCTGAACTGCAGGGGAGCAATCTCCAATGGATTTGTTTGGAATCCAAGATTTAGACACAACCTAAATGATTGGGAGATAGAGTCTCTTAACATCTTCTGGGGTTCTCAGTCCTCCAAAGCCAATGAATCTCATCTAGACCCTGGAACTGGGAACTATGAGGTGCTCTCACAGTCCAATCTTTTTATAAGAAATCATGGGCCTCACACCAATGAACATATTTGGAGCCCCACAGTCCCTTGACTCCCTTCAAAGATTGTCTTGTTGGTTAGAAGTTGTGGTGCATGGACATGGATACGGGAGTCAGAATCCAACACATGTCCAAGAGTCTGACTCAACAAGACAAGAAAATATGGAATTCATCCTATGCATTAGCTTTTCATTTATGTCAAATAAGATGGGAGATATAAAGGAAGTGTTACATAGAAGTGTCCTCAGAATCCAACACGTGTCCAAGAGTCTGACTTGACAAGACAAGAAAACATGGAATTCATCTTGTGCATTAGCTTTTCATTTATGTCAAATAAGCTAGGAGATATAAATGAAATGTTACATAGAGGTGTCCTCAAGAATCTGTGGAGTGTTCGACTCGACGCATGTCTGACACAGACATGTCCATTTAGGAGAGTCCATGCGGCACTAGTTTGGAGAACCTCTATAAGCAAGTGCACATTTGACCAGCTTACAGGTGGCCATGTGAGGAATGACCTTGTCAACTTCCCTTAGCATCTTATGCTCAGAGAAAGCAAAAGAATGAACCACCTACTCCTAGCAACTTCATTTGAAAATTTTCTTGGAAGTTTTTAGAGTAAGGTTAAATGTACATGGGTAATGGTTGTGGATATTTTCCTTTTGAGTAATTTTGTTACTTTACCATGTAACAAAAAACAAAAGAAAAAGTGATTCTTTTCTTTCTCACTTGGACAAATAGTTATTGAAGGCACAAAAAATCAAGGAGAATAAACAATTTCCTTTTAAGGAATCTAATAATACTTGATGCCAATCCAGAGAACAAAATATACATGAATAAATAAGCAAATAACAAGATAAACTTTCTCACTTTCACAAACATCATACATTATATATTTACATACCTCAGCTTCTTCTTTGGACATTCCTTCTTTCCATGTTTGATCAAAGAACCCATACAAGTAACTGGAACCAGATCCTGTAAAACACTAACTAGTTTAGGATAAAAGAAAATATGTGGTGCTAATAAAATTGTACGGGAATTCTATAATTCATATTTCTCTTCTTTTATACATTAGTAAACTAATGCAAGAAAAAGGCTTTAAACAGATAACTTCATCCTGAAAGGATATAAAACATTGGTGCACCACTACCATTTTAACTAGGGCCATACTTCAACCGTACAAAAAAAATTCAAAAATCTAAGAAATCAAATCAAACGATAAGTATCTATTATCTAGGACAAAATCTTTTATGTGAAAAAACTCTTTCAATATGAAGGTCAGCTCCCAAAATGCAGATTCTTATAAAGACAATTGGATAAAATAAATCCAACTACATTTACTGGGGAAGTGTTAGCAATGGATAAGAAAACACAAATATACTCCTGAAGATGGACAGGGGAGAGAAAAATGTCTCCATCAGCATCATGGGATATGCCAATACAGAAGGTCGGAAAACTCCTAGAGTGGAAAAAGGGAAAGGTGGAAAATAGATTATGAATACATACAATAGCTTAAAAAGAGGTTGCAATGACAGACCTCCAATTGTAAAAGGTTGCTCTAAAATTGTTCCACCAAGAGGAACTCCATATATTTTGCCTCCTTCATACTTGTCCCATCCACCAACAATCAATCCAGTTTGTAGCATGTTCTGCCAAGCTCAGCAGACAGATATAATGAGAATTATGTCAACAAGTAGCACATATGAAACTATTGAATATGAATAACTATTCTATTGGACATGAAGATGGCAAATACAACTTTGTCAGTATACATTCAGAAAGCAAATGGAAAAGAACATGTGAATTTCCTCCTTATTACTTTTTATCAGTAAGGAAAATAAATGAATAAGAGGAAAGGAGGGAATACAAAATGTGCAGCAAAAAAAGATTGGGACAGGGAGATATACTCCCCAAACAAAATGTGAAGTTGAACTTATACATTGCCACCAACTTTGTAGTATGCAACTTTCTAGCTATGACTAGCTCCTTGTGTATAATTGAAGTTGTTTCCCATGTTTATCAACATGAATACTGCATTATGACGTCTCATTTTTATATAACTGACTTCTTAAATTATGAAAGAATATTCTTTTTTCACCTTTAGATAAAGGTTCAAAAACAGGGAAACATATAGAGTGCACCAGATAGAAGGCTCATATTTTATACATCTTTTCTAGGAAACTAGATACGAACTAAACCAAACAGAGCTCAAGAGCTAACACAACATTTCTTGACAAAATGAGGCAACTAAAACTTGAGTGCAAATAATGTCCTGAATTGTGATAACTTCAGCATAGCATCCTCTAAGAAAATAAGGCATTTAAGCAACAATTATACAAAGCAATGAGCTAAAATGCCCATACCAAGGCAGACAAGGATGTGGGAAATGGGAATATGACTCACCTTTTCCTAAGATTCCATATACAGATATAAGTACATCCATTTAATATGCTTATATGTCGTATCATGCTTTAGGCTTTAGCATTTGAAAACATATGATTATTTCTCAAAAAATAAAACACCAACATATGAATTTAACAAAACATATATGTTTTTTTTTATCAGCAACACAGGAGATTCATTAATTTAAAAAAAAAAAAATTATGTACAACAAGAAGTGGGCAGACAAAAAGTCCAAAATATCCCACTAATTACATCACAGCCCCAAACAGAATCCAAAGGATAATTCCTTTGATTACATCGCAGCCCCAAAAGTAACCCTAAAGAGATCCACTAACTACAACATAGCCCAAAACATAGATTGTCTTTTAACTCCTTGCTTAGCTAGGCCATCAGCCATGCTGTTAGCTGACCTTCTAATCCACCTTATTTGAATCATCATGTCTTTAGAAGCCTGCTTGAATCGCCTGAGCTCATTTTTTTATCAATAACAACATTTTATTAAAACTTCCAATATAGCAAGAAGTAAGAAGGAGGGGTAAACTCTCTTAACCCTCCCCAAATGAATATAAATCAATTACAGAATGGCCCAAAACAGTTGTTCCCTTCCCACCCCTTGTTTAGCAAGGGTATCCGCAAATGAATTAGCACACCTTTTTACCCACTGAAACTGAATTTCCACACCTTGTGCTAACCGGTTGAACATTCTGCTGTCATTAGCAAACTTCCACAGACCATTCTTCTCTTCTTGCAGCCATCCTATAACCAACTTTGAATCCCCTTCGATAATGAGCTTGCTGCAGCCCAGTTCTCACGCCTTCTTCATCCCTTCCATCACAGCCATAATCTCAGCTCGAATAGAGTCGCCTACACCAATAGGGCCAGAGAATAGAGCAATGGCTTTCCTCTCTTCATCCCTAAAGGTTCCACCAATTCCAAAAGGTCCCGGGTTACCTTCACTACTCCCATCAAAATTCAGCTTAGTAAAACCAGAGGCCAAGGGAGACCAAATGGGGCTAATCTTGGCTTTAGCAGGTGCTGAGTTGGCTACTTTTTTTTTATCAGCAAAAAACTTTCATTAATAACGGAGAAATTAAGTTACAATAGATAAAGATTGCAAAGGGACAAATTGCAATCTCCAGTAATTAGTTACAATTCTGCCCAGTACAATGAAGATCTATTTGCCCCTTGTTTTACTAGGGTATGAGTTGGTCACTTCCTTCCAATTTCTTCTTAACATATCTGTGGAGATATTGTCAAACACCTCCAAAGATTTCGCCATGTTATAATTTGGCCTGCCTTTGAGTTCTGTTAGTCTGATAACAGCCAAGAAGAAAGAGGAAGAAAGAGAGAGAAAAAGGAGGAGAAAAGGAGAGAAGAAAAGTCTGGTTCAAATTAGGGAAAAGTTACTCTCCCATTCGGCCAAACATGTTTTTATATTATTAATATAATGGAAAAGACACATGTGCCATTATTTAAGTGAGGGACACTAGTTCTAATATAATATTACAGATCAGCAACCTCAACATAAGTATAAAGACAGAAATACCCCTACACTAACACTCCCCCTCAAGCTGGTGAGTATATATCATATAATCCCAGCTTGTTACATATCTAGTCCACTCTTCCCCGACTCAACCCTTTTGTAAATAAGTTTGCCCACTAGTTTCATGTATTAACATATGCAGTGTCTATCATTCCATTTAGCACCTTCTCTCTCACAAAGTGACAATCAACCTCTATGTGTTTGGTTCTTTCATGAAACACCGGATTAGAAGAAATATGAATTGCAGCCTGATTGTCACAATAAAGCTCCATTGGAGTATTAATGTTGTATCCTATCTCCTGTAGATGGTTCCTTAGCCACACTAATTCACAAGTATGTGCCATAGCTCTATATTCTGCCTCGGCACTGCTTCTTGCCACGACTGTCTGCTTCTTACTTTTCCATTTCACTAGATTACCCCGTAGAAAAGTGCAATAACCTGTGGTAGACCGCCTATCAGACATAGAACTAGCCCAGTCAGCATCAGTATACCCTTCTATTTCAAGTTTTCCACCACTTTTGTATATCAAACCACGACCAGGGGCCAGGGGCCCCTTTTAAATACCTCACAATTCTTAGAACCGCATTCCAATGAGGAACCAGAGGTTTCTGCATGAACTGACTTACCACACTTCACCCATATCACTGCTCAGCCTAGTATTTGTTTCCATAGGTGTTTCAGTTGGTTTAGCACCTAACAAACCTGTTTCTTCCAGCAAATCAAGCACATATTTTCTCTGACACAAATATATACCATACTTAGATCTTGCTACTTCTATCCCCAAGAAATATTTCAATTTACCAAAGTCCTTTGTTTGAAAATGTTCCTGTAGAAAAGTCTTCAACCTGTCAATGCCCATTTTATCATTCCTGGTAATAACAATATCATCTACATACACCATCAATAGTATTTTTCTTGTCGGAGAGTCATGACTGAAGACGGAATGATCAACTTGGCACTGATTCACACCAAACTTCTTTACCACCTCACTGAACCTTCCAAACCATGCTCGAGGAGATAGTTTAAGCCCATATATAGCCTTCTTTAGTCTACATACCTTACCATCCTCCCCCTGAGCAACAAACCCTGGTGGTTGCTCCATGTAGACCTCCTCGAGCAAATCACCATGC